CATGGTACTGAAGGGCAAACACAGTCCCTCTAGCCAAGGATGCCACAGGAGTTTCAATTTCAGCTGAGTAACAGGTTGTCATTAGAACTCTTGACAGGAGGAGGGTCTGTGCAAGACCTTTCCATTGCAAGGAGATTTCAGACTGTGTTATTAAACTCTGTTAATTTAAATATAATCTGATAGTACTACTTTCAGAGTATCAGAAGATCTAAAAATGGGAGATTAAAAATCTGCACTCCAAATTCACCGTATAAATTCTGCTGAAGTTACTATATACACACACACATTATATATATGTAATGAGTATAGGTTATGCAAATACACTCTACATTGTATATTTATACGAAAGTAAAGCCATGTACCATGCAATTGACCTGCTTTAGATCACCAATTCTTTATGGTAAGCATAATTTTTGTGTCCTGTGCTGATCCATTGTCTGGCAGGGTGGGTGGGGTTCCAGGATGCTCCTAGGACTTCTGGTCAAGTGATTACTGGAAGCAGTCATGAAACATCCATATCTTCCATGAACACAAATCGAAAATCTTAACTGTAACACAGAGAAAGAAATCCAGACACGTTTAATATTACTTGAGTTTTTACTCTGCATCCCCACTTCACACCACAAGTGGTTTTCACCCATGTTTGTTTCACGAGGCCATGTAGTGGTAGGACAAGGGAGAATGGCCTTAAGCTGAAGACTTAGATTAGATATTAGAAAGAAATTCTGTACTGAAAAGGTGGTGATGCACTGGAGCAAGTTGCCCAGAGTGTTACCTGGAGGTGTTCAAGGCCAGGTTGTAAGTGGTTTTGAGTAACCAGGCCTAGTGGAAAGTGTCCCTGCCCATGGCAGATGACTGTTAACATCTAGTTAAGATATGGATTCCATCCAAACCATTCTGGAATTATATGATTCTCTCTCCTGCCTCAAAACAGTTTGAAAAAAATAAATAATATTTCTGAGGTCTTTAAGGCATGGTCCAAACTTGATTGAATTTAGGAATGTGTCTCTTCTGAGAAGGAACAGCACTCTTTCCAGGATCCGAAGTGTTACTCCTGGATGTGGAATTATTTTCTGATCTACTAAACCATGCCTGCTTATTTCAAGCATTTTACTCATCCATGCTATAACTGTCTGGATCGTCACTCCTGGCTCTGTCACATCTTCCTTTATCCCCTTTGCTTTGTGTGCGTACTTTGGATTCAGTCACAGCACAGTATCAGTGTGATACGGAAGTTACTGAGACCCCCAGCAGGAGGCTGGGTTGAGAACAATTATCTGACAGAATTGTTTAGCAGTGTAGCCCAATCCATGTTACGACCCTTTTTCTAAATGTAGATCTAATGGCACATTAAAGCAATATTACATCTCATAAAGCCTGCTGGGTAAGAGTTCAGCGAGGTTCCCCTTGCTCCCCTTCTGCACAGCAGTTCCTTTGTTACTGCCTCGCCTCTACATCCTGTGATGGACGGGAGTCCCGTGCTCCTCTAACACTAAAATGGGGCTGCCAAGATAATTTACGAGCCCTGTGACCAACAAAACGTCTCAAGCATCCTTGGGTTATCTCTAAGTCCTACTTTTCTCTACCCATTGTCATAGCCAGCCTGTCCTCTCAGATTTTACAGATGGCAGGAAAGGTTTCGGCAACACAAACATTCTTCAGAGCACTGCTTTTAAACAATAGTCTTGTCCCAGCTTTGCCTGTGTCTGAGGTGGTGTTTCCAGACAGAAAGCAGAAAAGCAAACATAGGACTGGGGGAAGAGGGGACAGAGGGGAAAAGGAAGAGGGGGACAGAGGAGAGGACAGGTACATGTGAGCTGGGGAGATGGAGGCCAGGTTAACGTGCCTATGCACAGGGCCAGCCCAATGGACCAGCATGTCCTGGCTGGAGGACATGTGAGGTGTGTGCGTGAGGAAGGGCTTCCCCTGGGTCTCTAAGCACCTTTGGCTTTTACACCAGAAATCCAGGCTCGGTGTAAACATCATGACAGCCCATGGAAGCCTTTTTCTGCAGGACACAAGAGAGTGAACTAAGGTGCTTGCTATTGCCTAGATCTGGACAGGAAAATCACACAGCTGCCTTTCCACAGGGCCCTTCCAGGCCCCGAGTGACTGGATACCCAGACACACGTGGGATTTCTGCAGAAGAAACCCGAGGCACAGCACAGGAATCCCGTAGCCCTCTTCATTTCAGCGACCTGAGCCGAAAACAGCACGTGTTTGGGTTGCGGTGGATTTTGGGCTCCCCGTCCGCACAACGAGCACGGAACCCGGGGCGGCTGCTGCTCGCTGCCGGCCGCAGCGCGGGGTGCGATGCCGCGGGCACGGCTGGCCGAGCTCCCGCCCGCCCGCGGGGCCCAAGGCGCGGCTGCGCTCCCCGGAGCCGGCTTGCGCGGACGGTCCCGGAGGCGACGGGAGATGCGGGAGCGCTGGAGGGGGGCGCCCCGGGGGAGCGTGGTCCCTCCGCTCCGCCGGGCGGGGCCGGGCCGCGGGGGAGGCGACGGAGGGGCTTCGCTCTCCGTTTCCCAGGGAAAGCCCAGCACAGCGGCGGCCACGTGTCCCGCAGGGATCCCACCGGGCCCGCCGCGGCCCCGCCGGTCGGTGCGGCGCGGCGCAAAGTGCGCGGTATCGCCGCCTCTTCCTCCGCTCCGCCGGCAGCGCGGGCGAGGTGGCGGAGGGGATGTCCGCCGGGGGCGCGGAGGCCGACGGCCCTCCGCCACGGCCCTGAGCGCGCTTCTTGCTCCAATAAGCAATAATTAGGTCCTCAGCTAATGAAGTGTCAGCTGATCCCCTCGCTCCGTCTGCGCGCGGGGAGGCGGGGGGGCTGCGCCCGGAGACATCGCCATGGAAACGCTGCCCTCGCCTCTCTTCCCCCCGCCGCATCCCCCCCACCCCCCGCCGGCCCGGGCCGGGTGCGCGCCGTCCCCCGCGCCCCGCCGCGCCCGCGGAGGCGGGAGCATCCCGACATGGGACAGCGCTGCCCGTCACCGCGCCGCGCCGCCGTCGCCACAGAAACTTTTGTCCCGGCGGCCAATCAGGGCGCGGGGGGGGCGCGGAGCGGCGCTGGGCCCGGCCCGGTGC